ACCTGGAGAAGACACACGCTGTGTGTAAATCATGTCATGCACAATAAAATATGCAGGGGGTAATACGACTAACTTGAGAAACCACGTCAGGTACAGTTCATATATCTGACTGCTTGTATTTATTGACAAAATTATATACATGTGAAGTAAAATTGAAAATTGAGGATGCAATGCATTGTCAATGCATTGTGATGCATCGTGATATCGAATTGAACCGAATCGATGACATGATAATCGTAACCGAACCGAACCGTGAGACCAGTGTAGGTTCACACCCCTACAAATAACTACAAAGAAACTGTAAGTTAAATAGTGAAAGAAACATAACATTTTGAAGTAGAAAGACTGAAACATTCTCCAATAATCTGTTTTATTTACAACTTCTAATTTTTTTTTACAGTGTTGTTTATCACCTGAGAACATGAAACACTGAACAGCATACAGAGTTGAATTACCCAGTTTCCCAAATTCAATTACCCAAACTTATTTTTGGTTACAAATAAATAAAAACGATAATTTTGGTTTCAGTCTTTTAGTAAAAATACATTTTGGTGCATCACTAAAACAAATTCAACCAGAGTCTCCTACATAAGAACCGCATATCTCTGCATGAGTGCTTGTTGCTAAGCCACGGCTCTGACAACATCCACCATCTTTGATAGCACTACTGAAGATAAACTGAACTGCTGGGTTTGTCTATCATCAACAATTTAAACAGGACGACAGCTGGCAGTATATTAGCAACGCACTTGCTTGAGTTTTTAAAAATGCAATACATTCAGGGATCCCACACCTTCCGACCAATGGATTTCCATGACTTTCGCATTTACATTTATATTTGCATCGAATCATTAAGAGGACGCTGCTTTTATTCAAAATTACAAACACGGAATCACAGCAAATTATACAGGAGCTAACATTATTAGCAGTCCCTGAGTAAACAATTGATGAATTTCTAAATAAAATAAAAATAATCATAAATATTTGATTTTTTTTCATTATTTAACACACTGTATATATAAAAAAATATTTTTAAGCTATGAAACATTTTAGAGAATTATATTGACTACAGAAATTTCCAGGACAATTTAAAATGTTCTTAATTTCCCTGACTTTTCAAATTAACATTTCCAGATTTTTTCCACAACTGTGGGAACTCTGTGAAATGCATTTTTTTTAATTCACAGCCCAGTTCCTCAGGATCAATTGGGCCTTAGTGGTCCGACACGGGGACAAACAGCATCCTGCTGTTAACTTGGATTTCTCCTACTCAGCAGGTGGACGGTGTAGCAAGGTCCGGCTATAATCTGCCTCAGGCGTACACTGTTTGATGCTGTCTGCTAGGAAACTGACAAAACAAACTGTATTAATAGCTCCAGCTGGAGCCAAGAATGAGGAATCTGGAGAGTGCGCTGCCAGAGAGTAAGGGAGACCCCACAAAAAGGGAGCGACGGAAAAGGGGGGCAGGGAGCAGAGAATGGAACAAACGCTTTTGGAGGGTGTTCGGTAACTTGCAGGTAAAGGCCAAGGGTCCCGCGGATGGTTTCGGGGACGGGGGATCTAGGGTGGGGGTGTGTTTTATGGTTGATTTGGATTTATGTAACCTTAGTGAACCTGAGCTTTTGGAAAATGGAACAAATGAAACTTTAGATCCATGTCTGCAGTGTGCCCGGTGCTAAACCCAAAGTGAGGAAATACACAATGTAGCCCAATGCAGTCCCTAGGGCCTGTATTCTGCTAGGAACAATGTGGACCCCAAGTCCCCCTCTGTAAACCCATAATCCTCCTCAGATCAGATCATACTGCTGCTGCAACAATGTTGGACATGCTACAAGTCAACAAAATGGCAACAGTGCGTCTTCTCTCCTGCCTACAGAAATATATCAAACGTCCATGATATATTTGCGATTATGTTGCTGGCAATATGTTATGCGACACTGATTCAAATGGACTTATTTGCATCATTACTGAAAAACCTTTGTTTCAGTCCCTACAAAATACTGTAGTAAAAACATATGTAGGTAAATATTGCTGTTTATTAATGTATAGCAGTTTAATAGCGTGCAAACACTGCTGTTCAAAAGTTTGGGGTCAGAAGAAAGAAATTAAAGAAAGAAATGAATACTTTTATTCAGCAAGGACACACTGACCTTGTCAAAACAAGTGACAGTAAAGACATGTATGATGTTACAAAATATTTATATTTCAAATAAATGCTGTTCTTTTGAACTTTCTAGTCAAAGAATCTAAATATACCACAAAAAATATTAAGCATCACAACAATTTTCAACATTGACAACAGTAAATGTTTCTTAAGCAAATCAGCGCATTAAAATGATTTCTAAAGGGTCATGTGACACTGAAGACTGGAGTAACGGCTGCTGATGATTGAGCTTTGTCATCACAGGAATAAGTTACGTTTCAAAAATTTATTTAAAATGTTATTTTAAATTGTAATATTTACAGTATTACAGATTTAATTGTATTTTTGATCAAATGCAGTATATGCAGAGAATTCTTTCAAAAACATTAAAGAATTTTTGCAGACCCCAAACTTTTGAACTATGAAAATAAAAATGTTTGATGTAAAACAGTGTGAAAAACATCTTATCATTATTATCATCTAGAATCTAGATTGTTCACCATATTTTACTTCTTGTATTAAACCACAGCGTATGGTCAAGATGATGGTTTCTATGATTTGACTGCAAAAACATTTTAAGCAATTTCAGAGCAAATAAACATCAAGATCATATTAAAAAGCTGGAAAAATATTGCTGTCACTATGGCTATGTTCTGAAAGAGTGGCTAATTACATTATAATGGACATACCAATTCAATTTTGGCATAATCTGCTGTTTCTCTAAACACTACCACACCATGATGGCATGCGAATATCATATTTTAATGATTCCTAAATCAGAGCTATCTATCAACCCTGGTGTGCTTGCCAAAAACCGGATGAAAACAGTTTCCAGCCACCCACATTGTCCATTTATTATTTCTACTATGCAGTATCTCCCTCGATCTTTGCGAGGTTCTCTCACAGTACTTCATGAGCCTGGCACACCTTTTAGAGCGGACCAAATATTACATAACTTTAGTAGAGCACAGATGCCCAGAATCAACTCAAGCACGGCTGGATGTTTACCCTTATTGTCTGTTTTATTTGAACAGTCTGTTATTTGGTCTGCTGGACATTTGAAACAGTGTTATTTGGTCTGCTCTATTGTCGCATCCGGGCAACTATCATTATAAGCTGTCAATTATATTATCCTGTATACAACTGTTGCCAGGACAACTTACATAATCATAACATAGTCCGTCATTCACAGTTCTGACTTTTAATGGTTAGCGTGGTTCAACAAACGACCTGGCAGTCACAAACAGTGCCGATTTCATCATATGAAAGACGTCAAACTGGCATATGAAGTTCCTTCCTGTAAAACGTCTTCACTTAACACATTGTGAACCGCTGCAGATGCCTTATAGCAGAGGTGAAAGTAACAAGTAAAGCTCTGAGCTCTTATTAACCAAGCCGCTATGAGGCAATTACTGTAACAGCTGCAAAAATGCTCACTAGTGCACAAGCAAATATGTCTACTGAGAGGATGATGTATTATATGGAGACGTACAGTCATTCCAAAGAGTAACATTATTGGAATTCAACAAGTGCCATATGAAGTTGACCTATATCTACAATTACAGGTTCTCAGACATACAGATGGTGTTTACAGGTCTAAGATGGGACATTCACACGCTCAGATGAGATCAAGTTGATTGTTATCAGCTGTTTTAGGAGGCGTCTTTTCACACTGGATGCATTATGAGCAAATATGTCTTTATCTTATCTTTATTTTATCTGACTTATCTGGACAAATACCCACAACTATTTCATGGGATAACAAACTGATCAACAGCAGGTGCTTGTTTTATATAATATATTCATACAGCTAACAAACGAAACGAAAACAAATATTGTTTGTTTAAATTGCAAGGAATGATTTATAATTCTGACATTTGTGTGGGGTTGACCCTCTTTTATTTATTCATGACAAAAAAAAACCCATCTGCCTTAACCTAACAGTAATTACTGCAAAGCTTTTAGAAAAGTTTAGTTGAAAAAACTAAAACGTCAAATATGAAAAGTAATTTATCCTACTTCAAATCATGACTGTCTCTGTAAGCAACAAAAATAGAACTTTTATGGAAATAAATACTAAAAACACAAGGCACGGTTGCCGAGTTTTGTTTTATACATAGTTTTATGACACTTTAATGTGCAATTTCTAACTTCTATGTTGGATTGCTGCAATACACCAAAAATAATGTTCATTTCTAGCGCCCTCGCCGAAAATAAACGTCGCTAACTATTTAGCAAACCCATGCTAGCTTGATGTCTTGCGAACATGCCAACTTTAAAGCCAGCCTTTTCCCGCATGTGCCCGCCCTACCCTCGTTCTGATTGGTCACACGCGCGTCAATCAAAAATATCGAATTGTTGTTTGGCTACAATAAACGTCAATAACGATTTTTAGTTGTGTCTCATTGGCGCACGGAAATCCCACTCAAAAAATGGAATTCACGTACTTAGAGCGTACAGGCCGCTCATACTCCCCCCGCTAGACACAAAAGTATGCAAAGAGTACTTTGAAGCAAACAAACTGACCGTGGCATCAAATTTGTCATTTCATATAAGCAAAAAACGCTATAGTATATGGTAATATGGTATATACACATACAAGATAATAAATTACGCTAGGGGCACTTTTCTGTTCCTAAGATTTTCTTCTCTCGCTTGTCAAGAGCTCTGAACGAGCTGCAGTGTACGAGCAGACTTCGGCTGTAACCCACTGCCAATCTGACAGCCTCTCAGTCTCCTCATAAAAGTTACTCTTGATCACAGACAAACCTGGTAACGGATATAAATAACAATTGGGCGTTGTTTCAAATCAAGACAACCTTCATTTTTGACAAAAGAAGAATGTTTACAAACTTACCACAGCGCCCCTCTATCCCACTCTCTCTATCTCTCTCTCCTCTCGTGGAATGTGACACGCCCCTCCTTGTGAAGTATCGCGAGATTTTGGCGTCACACAACCCCAAACCCCCAGCGCTCACCTGGGATGGGATGTTTACGATCCTGTCAACTTGTTGGTTGTTTAATGTTCATGTTGTTGATAGCTTGTTTATTTTCGGACTATAATAATGTTAACATTTTGGCACGAACTGTGAATGTTGCTATGAATGTGAATGTAAATCACGTTCTTACTCTAAAATAGATTATTTTAAAATGTGAAAATAAATAAGTAAAATTTAATTTGCAATTTAATTTGCCATATTAATCCCATGCTTTTTTCTTAAAGACTTTTGGACCTTTTTTCAGTCTTACAGGTTTCTAAATAATAATAAATAATAGGGTACTACACTGTCTTGTTTTAGAATAGTGGTTCCCAAGATCATTAGTATTAATATATTAAAACAATCAAGCTGTAATGTAAATTAAAATACATAAACGTATTAAAAATTGTAAAAATTAATAAAAAATAAATAAAATTGTAAACTGAAAATCATATTTAATTTTTACCCTCTCAGTAACTATTGAAGGACATACAGTTCTTGAAACTTCTGGAATCACAGAATGTATCATGTTTAATTCATTTAATATATCAGTTTCTGTTACTCCCAGTTTCTGTTAAGTGTTAGTGAAGAAAGTTTGAAAATAGTTAGAAAATCTTATTAAAATATAATAATTGATTGTACAGTCAATTTCTTTGCACTTTTAATAGCGTTTCCTCATTCCTTGTATTACAAAATGGCAAAAAAAAGGAAGCAATGTTTTTAATTATTCATACCCTTAGATTGTCACGAACAATATTTTGTTTCCATCCCAGCCTTAATAACTCTTCACAAGTGGTCAGTGATTCATTCTACTACTGAGTGTATCATACTGATTTTGCTGTGCATTAACTATTGTAAAGCCATGATGAACCGCCCTACCCTCGTTCTGATTGGTCACACGCGCGTCAATCAAAAATATCGAATTGTTGTTTGGCTACAATAAACGTCAATCACGATTATTAGTTGTGTCTCATTGGCGCACGGAAATCCCACTCAAAAAATGGAATTCACGTACTTAGAGCGTACAGGCCGCTCATACTCCCCCCGCTAGACACAAAAGTATGCAAAGAGTACTTTGAAGCAAACAAACTGACCGTGGCATCAAATTTGTCATTTCATATAAGCAAAAAACGCTATAGTATATGGTAATATGGTATATACACATACAAGATAATAAATTACGCTAGGGGCACTTTTCTGTTCCTAAGATTTTCTTCTCTCGCTTGTCAAGAGCTCTGAACGAGCTGCAGTGTACGAGCAGACTTCGGCTGTAACCCACTGCCAATCTGACAGCCTCTCAGTCTCCTCATAAAAGTTACTCTTGATCACAGACAAACCTGGTAACGGATATAAATAACAATTGGGCGTTGTTTCAAATCAAGACAACCTTCATTTTTGACAAAAGAAGAATGTTTACAAACTTACCACAGCGCCCCTCTATCCCACTCTCTCTATCTCTCTCTCCTCTCGTGGAATGTGACACGCCCCTCCTTGTGAAGTATCGCGAGATTTTGGCGTCACACAACCCCAAACCCCCAGCGCTCACCTGGGATGGGATGTTTACGATCCTGTCAACTTGTTGGTTGTTTAATGTTCATGTTGTTGATAGCTTGTTTATTTTCGGACTATAATAATGTTAACATTTTGGCACGAACTGTGAATGTTGCTATGAATGTGAATGTAAATCACGTTCTTACTCTAAAATAGATTATTTTAAAATGTGAAAATAAATAAGTAAAATTTAATTTGCAATTTAATTTGCCATATTAATCCCATACTTTTTTCTTAAAGACTTTTGGACCTTTTTTCAGTCTTACAGGTTTCTAAATAATAATAAATAATAGGGTACTACACTGTCTTGTTTTAGAATAGTGGTTCCCAAGATCATTAGTATTAATATATTAAAACAATCAAGCTGTAATGTAAATTAAAATACATAAACGTATTAAAAATTGTAAAAATTAATAAAAAATAAATAAAATTGTAAACTGAAAATCATATTTAATTTTTACCCTCTCAGTAACTATTGAAGGACATACAGTTCTTGAAACTTCTGGAATCACAGAATGTATCATGTTTAATTCATTTAATATATCAGTTTCTGTTACTCCCAGTTTCTGTTAAGTGTTAGTGAAGAAAGTTTGAAAATAGTTAGAAAATCTTATTAAAATATAATAATTGATTGTACAGTCAATTTCTTTGCACTTTTAATAGCGTTTCCTCATTCCTTGTATTACAAAATGGCAAAAAAAAGGAAGCAATGTTTTTAATTATTCATACCCTTAGATTGTCACGAACAATATTTTGTTTCCATCCCAGCCTTAATAACTCTTCACAAGTGGTCAGTGATTCATTCTACTACTGAGTGTATCATACTGATTTTGCTGTGCATTAACTATTGTAAAGCCATGATGAAGATGAAAACTGTGATGTAAACTGAAGGTGACGGCTTTGAAAGCAGAGGAAGATGAGCTGCAGAGGGCCTTTATTCAGTCCTACTGTAGTTTCCTTCCTGACCGATTTACATTCTCTTAAAGAGGACATCCTGTGCTTAGACAAGAGTTTTAAAAAAAACACAAACTCACTTGCTTACGCTAAGAAGCATAATGTACACAATTAAAGTATGCTTCTTTCCCGCTATTAAATTTCCTATTAAGAAAGCAAAATCATGGCTTTAACGGAGAGCGTTTTTAAAGTCTTAATAACGTACAGAAAATGTTAATACGTTTTTGCTAATTAATATAAAATAGTAAATGTTTATTTAGCTATTATAAGTAAATATAGGTTTTACTTTTTCCTGAAGGTCTGATATTTGACAGTCTTTTCCTTTCATGAAAAATTAGAACATCATTTTTATTATTTTACAAACTAGGTAAATGGCAACATTCTGTAGCTTTAGCTGACTGTTTTATATCATGTGGTATTCCAGCACCCTCTACTGGTTAAAATTATACACACATAGCTCATCTGAGGTTTCAAGCCATTGAGAAGGCAAATGATGTGTTCATAATCACGTTCACGTTTCACTTGGTTTGAAGAAAAAAACTGCAGTAAAACACTTGAACAATGCATGGAGGCTTTTACTGGTTAGTATGCATGCATAAAACTAGATGTGAGCACTACATACTTAATCAAGCAATATAACAACAGAGAAATGAAAACAGAGCTGCAAAAAATCAGTGGGGGTTCACAAGATGTGACACTAGTGTTGACATGAATTCATTTAAGACATCCCATTCATGGTCTGCCAGCGTTTGGAATGATTATGCTTACATGACACTGCGAAGCTAAAAAATGAACATTCCCATTACTGACACAGAATATTCTTGTTAAGGTTTGCTATGTTTTCATCTCAAACGTAAATACAGCTCATTTTCTGCAATCATCAGCACCAAAATAAGTAATACAATCCAAGACTCTAAACCAGGTAGTTTTCAAGAGAAATATTCATGATTACGAATGTGATAGATGGACAGAAATAGATATTGTTTTGAAATCCAATGAAGTGTTCTTACATTGTTCTGTTTCAGAATAGTAAACAAATGTAAAACAAGGTTTCTTTGAGGCAAATTTACTATATTCTTTGCAAAATTTCACCCATATTTTCAGGCTTATTTTTGATGGCTGGGAAGCCTCATAAAATGATTCAACAAAAATGTTAATATTTATTTGACTTAAAAATTTTAAGGTTTTAGTTGTCTTAAAAAAAACTATTACTGCATAAATAAAAACGTTAACTTCAAATAGAAGAAATAAAGTTAACATATAATTATAACTTATAAGTGCTGTTAAAGTGTTATTTGTGTGTACATAGGATTTACTGGTAAATAATATTTGTAATGATTTTCTTGTTTTTGCTATTAAGAGTGTTTCACACATAGTTATCTACTGATATTTTAACATTATGGGTTCATAAGTGCATTATCGACATCTCTCTCCTACCAGATCAATATTTTTCCTCACCAAAGCGGACAATCGTACTGCAACCCAAGTCTGAATTTGTTTGATGGCATTACAGCAACAAAAGAAACATGAAACTTCCTCACTTCTTCACCCACTGTATATGGACAGACACACTTCAGATTGCAGTCTGATTACAATCACGTTCACGTACACAGAAGACATCTACCTCCTCCACGTCTGACATTAAGCACAGTCTCCTCGCTCAGTCTCTGAGGAGCACATATTCTTTCACTGACTCTGGAAGCGGGAGCTGTTTCACCGCAGATGGGAGGTACTGAACTCCCAGGCTGTTACGAATGGCGCAGCGCGCCAAGGCTCGCAACGAGGGCGGCTGGGCTACGAGGCTAGTGAGTCGAGCCAGTAACTGAGGATCTTTACTGAGCTCACGCGGTAAAGAGCCGTCGGCCCTGCGGATCTCGAACCTCCCCGCGGCGCGGCAAAGCAGCTCCAGGCACTCTTCCTCCTGTTCCGTGCCCAGGCCCCGAGCCAGCAGCGCCACCAGCCGCGAGATGGGCGTCTGGCCCTTTAGGTTGGTGACGTGGACTTGAGCGCCATACTCCAGCAGCACACGGACGCTCTCCAGGTTGCCCTTCATGGCCGCCCAACTGAGGGGTGTGTCGTTATTGTAATCGCGGACATTCGGGCACGCGCCACTCTCTAACAGGGCCCGTACACACTCGGGGTTATCTTTGAAGGCGGCCCAGTGCAGTGGGGTATCCTTGTTGCCATCCAGAGCATTCGGCTGGGCCCCGTATTCTAGAAGCAGCTCCACACAACCCTCGTCCTTCTCCGCTGCGTAATGCAGGGCAGTGCGGTTGTAGCCATCCAAGGCATTTACCTGTGTGAGAGAGTTAGATGGTGAAAATTATTATTTTTTTGTTAAATTCTGAATTAAAATACTGTCAAAAATTAGTCAAAAATGTTGCATTTGGTGATGGGTGATGCATCTTTCCGGATACTACAATGAAGAAAAAAAGCCATATTAAAATTTGAATTAAAAAAAGAAACAACTTTAAATGTATTTGATCAAAAATACAGTAAAAACAGTCATATTGTTAAATATTTTAAAATGTAATTTATTCCTGTGATGGCAAAACTGAATTTTCAGCAGCCATAACTTCAGTGTCACATGACTCTTCAGAAAATTTCTTATTATCAATATTGAAAACAGATGGGCTGCTTAATATTTTTGTGAAAACCATGATGAATGTTTTTCACGATTCTTTGATGAACAGAAAGTTCAAATCAACAGAATTTATTTGAAATATAAATCTTTTGTAACATTATTAATGTCTTTACTGTCACTTTTGATCAATTTAATCCTTGCTGAAAGTTTTCATTTCTTTTTTAAAAAATCATACTGACTCCAAACTTTTGACCAGTAGTGTACATATATTTTAACAAAACATTCTAATTTCTCATTAAAGGGGTCATATGATGCAATTTAAATTTTTCCTTTCTCTTTGAAGTGTTACAAGCTCTTGGTGCATAAAGAAGATCTGTAAAGTTGCAAAGACTAAAGTCTCAAATCCAAAGAGATATTCTTTATAAAAGTTAAGAGTCAGCCACGCCTACCTAAAACAGCTCGTTCTAACACGCCCCCA